TGTGATTTTTGCAATTTTCAGGAATTTTTGCAATTTTTGCAATTTTCAGGAATTTTTACGATTTTTGCAATTTTCAGGAATTTTTGCAATTTTCAGGAATTTTTGCAATTTTCAGGAATTTTTGCGATTTCTGCAATTTTCAGGAATTTTTGCAATTTTTGCAATTTTCAGGAATTTTTGCGATTTTCGCAATTTTCTGGAATTTTTGCGATTTTTGCAATTTTCAGGAATTTTTGCAATTTTTGCAATTTTCAGGAATTTTTGCGATTTTCGCAATTTTCAGGAATTTTTGCGATTTTTGCAATTTTCAGGAATTTTTGCGATTTTTGCAATTTTCAGGAATTTTTGCGATTTTTGCAATATTCAGGAATTTTTTCAATTTTCAGGAATTTTTGCGATTTTTGCAATTTTCAGGAATTTTTGCAATTTTTGCAATTTTCAGGAATTTTTGCAATTTTTGCGATTTTTGCAATTTTCAGGAATTTTTGCGATTTTTGCAATTTTCAGGAATTTCCGCAATTTTTGCAATTTTCAGGAATTTTTGCAATTTTTGCAATTTTCAGGAATTTTTGCAATTTTTGCTATTTTTTGCAATTTTCAGGAATTTTTGCAACTTTTTCAATTTTCAGGAATTTTTGCAATTTTTGCAATTTTCAGGAATTTTTGCAATTTTTGCTATTTTTGTAATTTTCAGGAATTTTTGCGATTTTTGCAATTTTCAGGAATTTTAGCGATTTTTGCAATTTTCAGGAATTTTTGCAATTTTTGCAATTTTCAGGAATTTTTGCGATTTTTGCAATTTTCAGGAATTTTTGCGGTTTCTGCAATTTTCAGGAATTTTTGCAATTTTTGCAATTTTCAGGAATTTTAGCGATTTTCGCAATTTTCAGGAATTTTTTCGATTTTTGCAATTTTCAGGAATTTTTGCGATTTTTGCAATTTTTTGCAATTTTCAGGAATTTTTGCAATTTTTGCAATTTTCAGAAATTTTTGCGAGTTTCGCAATTTTCAGGAATTTTTGCGATTTTTGCAATTTTTGCAATTTTCAGGCATTTTTGCGATTTTTGCAATTTTCAGGAATTTTTGCGATTCTTGCAATTTTCAGCAATTTTTGCAATTCTTGCAATTTTCAGGAATTTTGCAATTTTTGCAATTTTTGCAATTTTCAGGAATTTTTTGCAATTTTTGCTATTTTTGAAATTTTGCGATTTTTGCAATTTTCAAGAATTTTTGCAATTTTTGCAATTTTCAGGATTTTTGCAATTTTTGCAATTTTCAGGAATTTTTGCGATTTTTGCAATTTTCAGGAATTTTGGCAATTTTCAGGAATTTTTGCAATTTTCAGGAATTTTAGCGATTTTTGCAATTTTCAGGAATTTTTGCAATTTTTGCAATTTTCAGGAATTTTTGCGATTTTTGCAATTTTCAGGAATTTTTGCGGTTTCTGCAATTTTCAGGAATTTTTGCAATTTTTGCAATTTTCAGGAATTTTTGCGATTTTCGCAATTTTCAGGAATTTTTTCGATTTTTGCAATTTTCAGGAATTTTGCGATTTTTGCAATTTTTTGCAATTTTCAGGAATTTTTGCGATTTTTGCAATTTTCAGGAATTTTTGCGATTTTCAGGAATTTTTGCGATTTTTGCAATTTTTGCAATTTTCAGGCATTTTTGCGATTTTTGCAATTTTCAGGAATTTTTGCGATTCTTGCAATTTTCAGCAATTTTTGCAATTCTTGCAATTTTCAGGAATTTTTGCAATTTTTGCAATTTTCAGGAATTTTTGCAATTTTTGCTATTTTTGAAATTTTGCGATTTTTGCAATTTTCAAGAATTTTTGCAATTTTTGCAATTTTCAGGAATTTTTGCAATTTTTGCAATTTTCAGGAATTTTTGCGATTTTTGCAATTTTCAGGATTTTTTGCAATTTTTGTAATTTTCAGGAATTTTTGCGATTTTCGCAATTTTCAGGAATTTTTGCGATTTTTGCAATTTTCAGGGATTTTTGCAATTCTTGCAATTTTCAGGAATTTTTGCAATTTTTGCAATTTTGGCAATTTTCAGGAATTTTTGCAATTTTTGCTATTTTTGAAATTTTGCGATTTTTGCAATTTTCAAGAATTTTTGCAATTTTTGCAATTTTCAGGAATTTTTGCAATTTTTGCAATTTTCAGGAATTTTTGCAATTTTTGCAATTTTTGCAATTTTCAGGCATTTTTGCGATTTTTGCAATTTTCAGGAATTTTGGCAATTTTCAGGAATTTTTGCAATTTTCAGGAATTTTTGCAATTTTTGCAATTTTCAGGAATTTTTGCGATTTTTGCAATTTTCAGGATTTTTTGCAATTTTTGTAATTTTCAGGAATTTTTGCGATTTTCGCAATTTTCAGGAATTTTTGCAATTTTTGCAATTTTCAGGAATTTTTGCAATTTTTGCAATTTTTGCAATTTTCAGGCATTTTGCGATTTTTGCAATTTTCAGGAATTTTTGCAATTTTCAGGAATTTTTGCAATTTTCAGGAAATTTTGCAATTTTTGCAATTTTCAGGAATTTTTGCGATTTTTGCAATTTTCAGGATTTTTTGCAATTTTTGTAATTTTCAGGAATTTTTGCGATTTTCGCAATTTTCAGGAATTTTTGCGATTTTTGCAATTTTCAGGGATTTTTGCGATTTTTGCAATTTTCAGGAATTTTCGCAATTTTTGCAATTTTCAGGAATTTTTGCGATTTTTGCAATTTTCAGGAATTTTGGCAATTTTCAGGAATTTTTGCAATTTTCAGGAATTTTTGCAATTTTTGCAATTTTCAGGAATTTTTGCGATTTTTGCAATTTTCAGGATTTTTGCAATTTTTGTAATTTTCAGGAATTTTTGCGATTTCGCAATTTTCAGGAATTTTTGCGATTTTTGCAATTTTCAGGAATTTTTGCAATTTTTGCAATTTTCAGGAATTTTTGCAATTTTTGCAATTTTCAGGAATTTTTTGCAATTTTTGCAATTTTCAGGAATTTTTGCAATTTTTGCAATTTTTGCAATTTTTGCAATTTTCAGGCATTTTTGCGATTTTTGCAATTTTCAGGAATTTGGCAATTTTCAGGAATTTTTGCAATTTTCAGGAATTTTTGCAATTTTTGCAATTTTCAGGAATTTTTGCGATTTTTGCAATTTTCAGGATTTTTTTGCAATTTTTGTAATTTTCAGGAATTTTTGCGATTTTCGCAATTTTCAGGAATTTTTGCGATTTTTGCAATTTTCAGGGATTTTTGCGATTTTTGCAATTTTCAGGAATTTTCGCAATTTTTGCAATTTTCAGGAATTTTGCGATTTTTGCAATTTTCAGGAATTTTCGCAATTTTTGCAATTTTCAGGAATTTTTGCAATTTTTGCAATTTTCAGGAATATTTGCAATTTTTGTAATTTTCAGGAATTTTTGCGATTTTCGCAATTTTCAGGAATTTTTGCGATTTTTGCAATTTTCAGGGATTTTTGCGATTTTTGCAATTTTCAGGAATTTTCGCAATTTTTGCAATTTTCAGGAATTTTTGCGATTTTTGCAATTTTCAGGAGTTTTCGCAATTTTTGCAATTTTCAGGAATTTTTGCAATTTTTGCAATTTTCAGGAATTTTTGCAATTATTGCTATTTTTGTAATTTTCAGGAATTTTTGCGATTTTTGCAATTTTCAGGAATTTTTGCGATTTTTGCAATTTTTCAGGAATTTTTGCGATTTTTGCAATTTTCAAGAATTTTTGCAATTTTTGCAATTTCAGGAATTTTTGCAATTTTTGCAATTTTCAGGTATTTTTGCAATTTTCAGGAATTTTTGCAATTTTCAGGAATTTTTGCGATTTTTGCAATTTTCATGAATTTTTGCAGTTTTTGCTATTTCTGCAATTTTCAGGAATTTTTGCGATTTTTGCAATTTCCAGGAATTTTTGCTATTTCTGCAATCTTCAGGAAGTTTTGCTATTTTTGCAATTTTCAGGAATTTCAGCCATTTTTGCTATTTTTGCAATTTTCAGGCATTTTTGCGATTTTTGGAATTTTCAGGAATTCTTGCGATTTTTGCAATTCTCAGGAATTTATGCAATTTTTACAATTTTCAGGCATTTTTGCAATTTCCAGGAATTTTTGCAATTTTTGCTATTTTTGCAATTTTCAGGCATTTTTGCGATTTTTGCAATTTTCAGGAATTTTTGCGATTTTTGCAATTTTCAGGAATTTTTGCAGTTTTTGCTATTTCTGCAATTTTCAGGAATTTTTGCGATTTTTGCAATTTTCAGGAATTTTTGCAATTTTTGCTATTTTCATTGCCATATTCCAAAATTTCCCTATTTCCACCACAGATTCGTTCATTACGACATCGAATAAGTATATGTGAATTTTAAAAACGGCGGAAATCCACGCGAATTATCGCTTTTCCAGTAAAAAATGACACGCTGAATTGAATGAGACCATAATCAGCCCGATAGGACAGATATTTTTCGAGAGACATCAGCGCTCAAAGTCAGCTTTTCGCTTTTATTGCCGGTAGGCTATTACGTCTTCTCTCTAAAGGGTGGAAAAACGTAATGCGTACGTTAGATTAGATTAGAGTTCACTTTCTCAGACAATGTAGAAGACTTGTTCAGTACCGTTAGTATAAAGCTAAAGAGAAGGAAGAAAACTTGTGGAAAAGACAGTGAAGTGACTAGTAAAAATAAGTGAAAGAACGTGATTAACGGGGGAAATCGTGAAAACGCCATAAGGTGCAAATAAGAGAATAACGATAATTGTACTCAAAAACAACGTGAAAATTGCTTGAAAATAACATGAGATCAACGTAGAAATAACGTAAAAATCGTGAACAAAGGGTGAAAAAACGTAATTCGTACGTTCAATTAGAATAGAGGTCACTCTCGTATACAATGTAGAAGACTTGTTCAGTACCGCTAGTGTAAAGTAAGAGTGACGTATGAGTACCGTATGGTCGTAGACTGAGGAAAATTAGGAAAAATTACAATACCTTAGCTCCGTGCCTTAAAAGCACATCCATGAGATCGTAATGCGAATTGTCTGCTGCCACATGGAGCGGCGTCAGAAAATCCTTGTTTTTTTCGTTGATGTGGGCCCCCTTGCGAATCAGCATCTCCAGAACCTTTATTGGAATAAATCATCTTTATGTCTCACATAAACGCGTTATATTGCTGATCGTAAGTCAAAAATTATTCACATGACAAGACCTTGAGCCAATATACTGCCTGCCTTCGCAATCGTTCGCAGACATATGGAATGTCAACACATATTTACGTTTCCAAAAAATAAAGATGCTCACCTGTTTGCGTTTGGGGTAGAGTGAATTGACAGCAGCATGTAAGGCAGCATCTCCAGTATAGGGGTGTTTGTAGTTTATGAGATCGGGGGTGAGATACTTTTTCAGTTTCGCCGTATCAGCTTGTCGAGCCGTTTCCAGAAGCAGATGGCCCTTGTATTCGTCTAGAAGACATTTACCGATTGAATGGGTACCTCATCCATCGACTTTGATTATTTACACTAACAAGATGAACCATCCTTATGAGAAAAATGAAGCCAGATATTTTATTCAGTAAGTAACGGTATCTTTGAGCGACAAGGTAAACTACTTTTTGTTGAGTAGCGAGAGGTAGAGATCGGTTGTGCAGAATATATTACAAGTTTATTTTTATATGTAAAAAACTTCACAAACTATAAGATTTCCACACTATTTCTTGATGATTTTATGCAAGAAGAATGTCACATCAGGGACATATTTTTCGAAATTATGAATATCAAAGTTACTGATTTTCTTGCTCCAGCAAGAAGGATATTAGCAAGAAGTACAAATGCCTATGAATTATCATAACTCAAACTCTCGTGAATTTCAAGATTTTTTAACATAAATTAACTTTTCCAAATTGAAACAACCAGTAAATTGTAGTTTCGATCAGGTCAGCGGAGTTCATAAACGTCACTTCCTTCAAAATTTGCAAAAATAAACGAATACCGTGCGATAATACCTAGGTAAGCAATACCGAAAGGTAACGGCCATTCCCATTGCGGAAAACTGCGAACCTAGCATCGATTCCGAGTATAAATAGTACCCGAGTCGATAAGGCATCATTATTATCAATACAAGTCATAAGTAATTATCAATTAAAAATGCTCGCCGTCTCCCCGACTTCAATCCTGCTGGTCACAACCCCATGCTAGGCCTTATAATGTAAGTACTGTTTTTTGCAAGTGTTGTTTTGCGTTGTGTTTCATTTGGCATGCCATTATGTTCTTTTTTCTTTGCTAACCTACCATGTGGCAGCATTTATTCATGAGCACTTCATTTAATATTAATAATAAACGTTGATTTTATATGGAAAACTGTCCGGTCTCTTTATTTGGGGATGAATATGGTTGGGCGGTGAAATGATCCAAACCTCTCGTCAAAAAGCCAAGCGAGTAGCTAAGTTACGACCTATAGGAGGGTCAACATCTGAGATGCAACAATATTCCTAGATAGTTCAGCAACTTGCAGATAGATGGACTCGAGCAGATTCTGAGAGCCAAATTTTGCCTTCAACTTCTTTACATGGAGGTGGACCATTCTGTTAGTGTAAATAAACGTTAAATGGTTTCAGCTGTAGTGGTACTTACACGCCAGTCTCTCTTGCAGCTCCCTGTTAGGAGAAACGTCGATGGCGGACTTGCCATGACAGTTCAGTTGATGTGGGTCAGCTCCCTCGCTTAACAACAACGAACACACCTATATGACAACCAATCGCTTCAATATCGATGAATATCACCGACCTAAATTACTAACTAGACCGCTAATGTCAGTTACGACTCAACAACGATAGCTAGACACCGCGATTCGATCATAAATCAAAGATGAACGTGGCAGCACCGCAAAGTTTCGTAGTCGGTTTTGTTGCCAAACGTCCTAACTTTTGAGATACAGGGTGGTAAAGTTCTAAAGAGATCCAGGATCCTAGTTATGAGATCTATGAGATCCAGGATCTTAATTATGAGATCTATGAGATCCAGGATCTTAGTTATGAGATCTAGCAGTTGAATAGGTGGTGGAAAAATTCCAGGTTAGTGGTTTACTTGTAGTACCACTCTGTAGCGTATAGACGTAGGGGTCTGTACGTGTGACCATAGATGGCAGCGCCATACAGTGTGTGTCGCGATCTCTGTATCCTACCTTAGAGCTTTGCCACTAGATGGCTACAACATGACTAGAATTTCATGTTATACCCTGCGTCTTCGAAATCGGTGATATACCCGAAGCGTAGAGTTTTCCCAGGTGTCAGCAGACCGAGAGCGGCTGATGAGACCTGGTGGGTCGAAACAGTACTGTCTCGCTCCTGCTGACAATTGGGGCAACTCTGTTTATCCTGGATCTCTTAGTTATCGAGATCTAGCAGATTTCTGAAAGAATCGCGGTGTCTATTTATTGAGAGTTGTAGGGTCATGAATATGAAGAAATGATCGTATGGGTACCTCTAGACGAGCTTTGGAGGCAGCTTCGTGCAGTGGCGTGAAGGCCCATAGGTCGTTGGCATTGACGTTGGCGCCATGTTTGATCAGCATCTCGGTGACCTCGAAATGGCCGTACGAACAGGCGTTGTGCAAAGGGACCAAGCCACTTGAAGGAATAACATTAATCAATCGCAGAATATCCCACAATCAGATACTATTATCGACACATCGAACCTATACCTCCATGACGAGGCAGGCCAAACAATAATAATAATAATAATAAATGTGTTTATTACCAGTTAATGAAAGATATAATTAAATTTTGTTAGTGTATAGTTAGGGCGAGATTCATTTTGTATGTATTGAAAAAATAAAGTACAACATGAAATATATATTTGACATTTAACATACATCTGATCTTCTATCTAACCCCAAAAAGAAGTCTAAAACAGCGAAAATAATGCTAATAATAATAATACTTAAAGAGCTTTATTGGATACCCAAAAGGCTACCGACCGAGGTTCTTCAGCCTGTGTTACACAGTGATTATACATGAGTTCAAATTCATCATTATTGTATGTACAAGATATATGGAATTATTAAATTTGCTGGTGTAAAAAAAAAGAAAAGTCTATTGTGAGGCAAGAATTTTGGAAAGAATTTCAGTCTTCTGAATTGATTAAGCATTCCAATAGTGTGTTTTCCGGAAACTTCCGTCTTGGATTCACTGTTGGATCTCACTGTAAACACTGGAATTGGATAATTTGGAGATTGGATTAGTTTTTGGATAACAAATTTAGCTCCAAGGCATTGTAGAAACACATTTTCAACACTTTATTCACTCCGGATGACTTGTACAAAGTAGACCTTCTATGAAATACAACAAACGACCTTCTTGTTCTGATGCCGATGAATAAATCCGCTTCAATCTTCAATCGCATGATGATTACGACTACCGATGAATCGACCGCTTGTGATAAGACATTCCTTAGGCGTTGTTTTCATTTACGGGGTGATTTGAGCTTCGTCGGTAACAATATTTCGGTACATAATAATCCAATATTTTGGGTAGTTGGTTCCTGATGGATATTTAAACAATGATTTTTTAATTTTTCAAAAAAGAAAAGAAGGTGAACGTCACACCGATTACGCCCTAGATGAAAAACTCACCCTTTGTCTTTCGCGTGGACATCTGCCCCCTGTTGCAAGAGCAATTGCACCACCCTGCTCCTATTGTAACCTGCGGCGAGATGCAAGGGGGTTGATCTTCGCCCGTCGCTCGCATGACAGTTGACGTTGAGGGGGTTGAGAAGCGCCAACAACCTGTTTTTTTGTCATGTTTTAACCTTGGATATTCACACTAACAAGATGAACCATCCGTATGAGAGCAATGAAGCCAGAAATTCTATTGAGTAGGTAGCGATGTCTATGAACGACAAGGTGAACAACTTTTTGTTGAGTAGCGATGGGTGGAGATCGGTAATGCAGAATATATTCCAAGTTTATTTTCAGATGTTTTTATGCAAGAAGGAATGTTGCGTCAGGGTCGGATTGAAATATTTTCATTCAAAAGCCTTCAGAAGGTTCTTATGGAATAAAAAATTAAGAAATTCAAGATGGCGGATGCAATATGGCGGAAGTTTTGTAATAATGATCCGATTCTGTTCAAAATTTGTAGTTGGGGGTTCTAGGGGTCAGAGATTAAGATTTTTTCGTAAAAAATGGAAATACAGGATGGCTGATCCAATATGGTGTACATGTTTTGTAATTATGATCCGATTCTGTTCAAAATTGGTATCTGAGGGTTTTCGGGTTCGGAGATTATGATCCCTATGTCAAAATTTCTTCCAACAAGATTGAGGAATTCAAGATGGCTGATCAAATATGGTGAACGAGTTTTCTAATTAGGATCCGATTCGATTCAAAATTTGTGTCTGGAAGTTACGGCGATTATGATTCCTCTGATCCCGATCATAATTAGAAAATTCATGTCGGCGGATTGAATATGTCGAACGAGCTTTATAATGAATACTGTTTTGAAAAATTAATAGAACACGCTTTTAGACATAGTTGAACTAAGAAGAAGTGAGATAAAATAGTAGTTTAGGAAACTAGAGGGATAGATTACCGGACTGAAGAGAATTAGAAAATAAATAGTAGTCTTAAATACTAAGAAAACATCCTTTGTTGGTTAGTCAAACTGAAAAGAAGTGGAAAATAAAAGAATAAAAGTGTGCTATTAATACATATTCAATATTTTCTAGAAATAATGTATAAAGCAAAACAACGTTTGCCGGGTCAGCTAGTTGCTAGATATTTCAGCAACTAACAGATAAATGGACTCGAGCAGATTCCGAGAGTATAGACAAATCAGCCATATTTCACTGAGTTTCTTTAGCTCCGCCTACGAACCAGCCAAGAACTAAGGCAAAATTTGGCTTCAACATTTCCCATGACGGTGGATCATCTTGTTTGTGTGAATGACTGTAAATAATCAAGGGTTGTGCTGCATTTCCCGCAACAATTCTTCCCATTTTCTATTTTTTCGTTTACCTGTCTTCGGCTCCCGAACGTGCAGCCTCGAGCAGCTCGTCCTTGCGGTATTCTCCGGTGAGCACAGGTCTGGTGGTCGTGTCGGCCACTTCCAAGGCCGTCTTGCCCTCGGTGTTGCGTATGTTCACATCGGCTCCGTGTTGAAGCAGAGCTGGAAAGTGGAGTTTTACCCCAGCGAACAGTGAAATTACCGAGAATGGCAACATTTTTAGGCCGTCTAGTCAGCGGAACTTATTTTAGTATTGTGCAATTTGTTGTTTTTTATAGAGAAGTAATGAATGTCAAGAGGATTCCGGATCTATACATATTTTTTGTCTTAGCTGTATACTCACCTATGCAAACGTCCACTTTCCCTTTGATGGCAGCCTCGTGCAGCGGGGTGTAGTTCCAGTTGTCCCTCGTGTTGGGATTGGCCCCCGCCTCCAACAACAACCTCACCACATCAGCGTGACCGAAGGAGCAAGCGTTGTGGAGGGGGTGCAGTCCCCCGTCGTCCCTCGCCTGGATGGAGGCACCGGCAGAAAGGAGAAACTCCACCACATCTCTTCTACCATAACCTTTCCAAGAATCATGAATAAAATATGTGAACCCTCGGTATGAATAACATTAGATGGTGATTAGTATTTGTATGACCCTATATAATAGTTTGTTACTTAGTTTACCTTATACAGTATGAGATATAAAAGAGGATTGCAATACAAATTGTGATTCTCATATCGATCTTTATTTCATTAACATATCCATACAATTACAGTCCCCTATCTATCAAGAATCGAACATATTGGTCCTTCGAGCCGGATATATTCGAATCAAACCTTCAAAACTGCCAAGTTCTTCACAATGATACAGAGCAGCTCTCGGGACTACTTGGAGTACCACTGAATACCAAGCAGCTGGGGCTTCTAAAGATAGCGACAAGCAGTTCAAGCGAACAGATAGACACCGCGATTCATTCATCAATCATTGAAAAGTATACGATAACAATTATTATAAGCACCAAACACGGTTGAGTGGATGAAATCGCGAATATTGGGATAGTTCCAGTTGTCCCTCGTGTTGGGATTGGCCCTCGCCTCCAACAAGAACCTCACCACATCAGTGTGACCAAAGGAGCAAGCGTTGTGGAGGGGATGCAGTCCCCCGTCGTCCCTTTCTGGATGGAGGCACCGGCAGAAAGAAGGAACTCCACCACATCTCTTCTACCATAACGTTTCCAATAATCATGAATAAAATATGTAAACCCTCGGTATAAATAACACAAGATAGTGATTAGTACTTGTATGAGTTGTATGACCCTATATAATAGTTTGGTACTTGTTTCACCCTATAAAGTATGAGATATAAAGGAGGATTGCAATACAAATTGTGATTCTCATATCGATCTTTATTTCATTTCCATATCCATACAATTACAGTCCCCTATCTGTCAAGTATCGAAAATATTGGTCCTTCGAGCCGGATCTATTCGAATCAAACCTTCAAGACTGCCAAGTTCTTCACAAGGATACAGATCAGCACTCGAGACTACTTGGAGTAACACTGGATGCCAAGTAACTGGAGCTTCCACAGGTAGCGACAGGCAGTTCAATAGATAGACACCGCGATGCATTCATCATGCCAAGATGAAAAATACTATCGAATTGTCTCCAAAACAATACTTTTCTGCAAACCAAACCTTATCTACTCTGAAGCCTAATTTTTACGACCCTTTGTGTCAAATTTCTCAATTTCCCAGTTTTGCTATTGGTTCAACATTAACGAACAAAACAGTAGGTTTTATGCCGAAAACAGGAGAACAGTAGAACGGAGAAAAAAACAGTAGATATACTGTTGAAACAGTAGGTCTGGCAACGCTAGATTTAATACGAAGAGTTCAATGCTAAGCGCTTGATATGTTGGTAATACTACACCACCACGAGGGGAACCACCGGTTATTAATACATGAACGATCACGGCGACCGGGACTTCCCATATACGTTCAATGATCATCCTGTTAATTAGAGGATTAGCGCCTAGCCATAGCACCACTATATGCGAAATATTGCCACAGTGGCGAGCACGAGTGAAACGAGAGCCTAAAGTTTCCGAACCATTCCCAAACCTAACTGTCAGATTGATCGCAGCGAATCACGTGATATGTCATAGACGCATGCGCATTCGCTCGTAGAAAATCTCGAAAAAAATACTGTGCAGGGATTATTTACTGATGAGGCCGATAGTGATTCGCTATTTCAATGATGTTTTTTTCAGGATTGGCTGTGAGCGAAGTTCTCGACCGGAAATTTCCTGTTTCTCGCGCCCAGCGAGCAGCTTTCAGGCCCAATTTAGCTCTTTTCTATCTTGAACGAGAGAGAGGAAAGTTCTCTCCTCTTCCATCTCTTTTTGCAATGCTACCAACGTGGCCGCATTGAAATATAGAGAGGTCCGATAAATCTTTCCTTGTCTAACATCTACTTTGTGCCGCTGAACTATTTTTCAATTCAGCAGAGTGTCAAATTTGACGATATCAACAAATTATGTCAAAATAGGTATAATATAAATCAAAATTTCATTTTGAAAATTCGAAATGTCATCAGTCAATGACATTCATGACAAAGACATATCACGTCATTATAATATCGAAAATAGTTCAGTGGCGCAGACTAGAGGTTAGACAAGGAAAGATTTATCGGACCTCTCCATATCTCAATGCGGCCACGTTGGTAGCATTGCAGAGAAAGATGGAAGATGAGAGAACTTCACTCTCTCTCGTTGGAGGTAGAAAAGAGCTCAATTGAGGTGTTTTCTATCTGTAAATATTCAATGTACAGTATCTTTTTAGCTATGATTTGAGGATATCACCAATGGAATTTTTCCGATTTTTTTAAATTCAATGAAGCTAGTCCTTTTTTATAGATGACACTGTATATGTTTTGTATCTCTTTGGCTATGTACTTATGACATTTTTTATTTTATTTACTTTTTTTACACTTTTTTATATATGATGAAGTCATTTCTGACAATGAGAAATAAAAATTATCATTCATCAATTTTCTCAATATTTCATGTCTGGTACATTCCATTCGATTTTAGTACAATTCAATAGTGATTTCAGTACAAATAGCTTTTTTTCTTCTGGCAACACTGCTTCCTATTTAGTGTCCCCCCCCCCATGGGATTACCCTAGGTATGTGCCTGGCTCAGACTACCTGAGACAAAGCTGAGAATATTTTTCAATAGCAACCTTTCATGAGATTAAATGTGGTGATATGGATTTTTTTTTCAATGTGACATTACATATAGGTATTTGTAGAACTATCATCAAGTTATTGTTTCAAATCTTTATTATGTGTTCACAGATTTTGAAAGCTTCTTCCATTCTGGATACAATAATAAATTATACAAAATATAGGGTGTTTTGAATTAGTTTTAGCCACCATCAATATTATTTTGAAATTCCAGAGGGAAACATCTAACATCATCAGTTTCCCTTATTTCTAATCATTCAGTGTCAAATATTGGTGGATAACCCTGTATATCTATTGATCTCTCAAGTGTTGATTCATTTTTTTCTTGAAAATATCAATTGAAGATAAGCCCTTTGAGTATATCAAAATCAAGATTATTGAATGAGCTAATTTTAAGAACAAATACTGAGTTATATAAGAATAATTCTAAAGAATTTGTTGAATGTACAGAGGCAAGAGATATTCAATTAACAATCCTGAAACTACTCACTTCAATTTTTGAAAAAAAAAAAGGCTTTTTTTAATGATTTTGTGTATTTTTTTCTGAAATCCAGTCTCAAATGAAATCTAGTAGGTATACCTACTTCAGTTCAAAATAATTATAGAATTTTTTATATTCTCTACTGTTCTTAATCACAATATATCTATAAAGTGTAATGTTATGATAGAACTGAACTAAACTAAGAATGAACAATTAAATTGAAAATCTCTATAGAAGCTGATTCAGATTATTCAGATTATTTAACAAAGCAGCTCCATGGATTATTAATTTGTTAATTCTCAGTTGGGGGGCTGAAAGACTTTGGTCAATGGCTTTTTGAAGGATACCACCAATACAGTTTTTTTATCTCTCTCTTAGTTAGATTAGTTGAGTTTATGAATCCACCATGGTGCTGATGGTAATAAACACCATCAATGAATCAATTGAATTAGGCAGTATTTACATATTATGTTTTGATATGAAAAACAAAACAAATGATGTAACAAGAAATCCAAACAGAAATCAGCATTTGGTCACGTCCTGAATCCACACAAAAACTCACCAGCTGCAAAATGAAGAGGGGTAGACTTCCTGCCAGCAGTGTCTCTGGCGTTCACTGTACTAGGAGTCACCAATTTTCGCACCTTGGAAATGTCCCCGACTTTGCAAGCCTCGAAGAGCTCCCGTAAAGGGTCATTGGCACTCGGCAGGGGATCCATGGAAGTTTTTAAAACATCCCGTCTACCTGCCATTCCAGTTTAATAGAAAGAAAAACACATTTCATCCATCACTGTTTTGGTACTACGGTACTCCACTTAAATTAGAAAGTTGCACATTATGTTTTTTATGGTCTGTTATTGAGTCATTCCTATTACACATACATTTTTTTTATGATTTTGTTGTGTTTTATAATAATTAATTCAACTTGCTGTAGGAAACTGTGCAATCAACACACAGGATTTTCTTTGTGACACAGAACATCAAAATTACAAATGGAGATGACAGATGGCGAATGACAGATATTGTCTATTTCTTTCTAAGGCTGTGACATCCGTGACATAGAACTGTAAAGCTTCGTTTTCATGACAACGTTTTGCGTCGTGCGTCTTGCGTTGACTCGTTCTTGTTGGCTATTTTGACTGACGCATTATTTAGTAGGAATGAAGTTAAAAATATTTAACTTCTTTGCGTCTAACGCGAGAAATGTGGGATAGAGAACCTAACGGTTCTGTACTAATTTCGTTACAAAGTGATAAGAAGAAGAGGATTCGACGCCATTTTGATTATTTCAGAGGTAATCCGAGTTTTTCCAGTATTACGTCAACTGGAACCAACAGTTTTAGTTTATATTTATAATTTTGGTAATTGTATGCAGGTGGCTGGAGGAATCAAATAAAAGATTTATTCAAAACGTTTTATTTATCACAGTAAAATGTATTAATAAACTCGCAACAATTGGCAGCCTAATAAAAGTGCACTTAAATATTCAAAAATACCTTCATAAAACATCAGAAATCAACTAAAATGTGGCAACATCATTCTTCAAATTCCTCAAAACTCTGCCAAGTTTTTCTAGAAGATCCCAATATTTCAAACCATCCTTCAACTCAAAGGTAATCTTGTAACATTTTTTATACAACTCCCCTAATTTTTCACAATCTTTGTTAGGTGCAGGTTTTGTGATACAGATTTTCACTAGAAGCTTCAGAGTATTTTGTAATCGATGAGCTACTAATTTCAACAAAGAGTGGCAAGTTTTATACGTTTTTTCGTCGCCCTTCAGCTCAGTCTCTTCCTTCTCTTCTTGAATATCAACTTTCTTCTCTTGCAGAAGATTTATCATCTCTTCTAGTTCGAAGAGTATCTCCAAGCAGTGCTGGAGATGCTTGATTTTACTGTTCATAACGTTGGTAGCTGAAATTCAGAAAATATACTCATGTGAAACAAACTTTAGCTTGTGTATTCAACAGTAATAATAGTACCCACTGAATAATCTGTTAATGTTGATTGTTGTATACAATTTTGAGCAGGACAACATATTTTACTATCATACTTTTTTCAAGAAAAATTGTTATTTATTATGCGGCTTGCGAGAGTTGCGCACACTGCATCCATCATTCTGGCTTCCACCATAATTGACGTTTAAAACGTCCAAAATTTTGTCGATATAAAATCGTCGTTTTTCCGTCATAAAAAAAAATAGTGAACTATACACGTAACAATATTAGATTTTAGTATTCCCTTGTACTGAATTTTCAACAATGATTGAAAGCCACGTGACAGATTACTATGCTACCAAAAATACATTCGTATCTCTTTAACATGGGTGGAAGACACGCCGCATCAAAATCATATGGCATTCATGGTCGTTGTTCTATCGGGCTATAATATTTTTGAAATTGCGGCGTTGCCGCTTCTATCAAAAAGTCCTAGCGACTTAATTTTTTCAAAAGGATCACCCTGTATATTATTGCAATTTTAAATTCTTCCTGAGGAGCTTATTTCATCAACTTATCACACTAGAGGTCTAGCGGGGATAATTACAGAGACATATAGGGTTTTCAAAATCGAGAAAACGACTCTCATGTCCCTATCTCAACTTTCTTCTTGAATTCTTTGATCTTCAACCACCCTGTATTTGTTCCAATCAAATGTCAGTAGATAGTAAAACATCTCAAAGTTGAAAAATCTCGATTTTGAACACCCTATATCTTATCTCTGTAATTCCTTCCGCTAGACCCAAAGTGTGATGCATTGATGAAATCAGCTCTTCAGGTAGAATCTAAAAATGAAATAATATACAGGGTGATCCATTTAAAAAAATGAAGTTGCTAGGACTTTTTGATAGAAGCGGCAACGTCGCAATTCAAAAAATATTTTAGATCCCTAGTACAGGTGATAACATGTAAGATGCCAGATTTTCAGGACAATCCTTCGTTGCGTTCTCCATAAACGTCTAACCTACCATCGACCGTGATTCACCCTGTATATCCGTAGGAAAAAAGTAATGTTACGAAAAGTGACATTTTGTTAACTGTTAACAGTTATAAAATGTCAAACTTTTCTCCTGTCACAGAAAAATAGTAGTTAACCACCTAACAAGTGCGGAAAGTGATACTTTTCAGCACGTGTACTTTTTCACACGTGTTAGGTACTCTATTTTTTCTACTAATGTGCGGACAACCCCAAATTCTTCTTTACACTTCCTGACTTTTCAACACTAGTGCGGAAAAACACTAAAATGAGTGCGGAAGAATGGACTTTACCATCGACCGTGATTGATCCTGTATATCCCTGGGAAAAAAAGTTATGTTAAGAAAAGTGAGATTTTGTTACCTGTTAACAGTGAAAAAATGTCAAACATTTTTCCCATCACAAAAAAATAGTAGTTTACCTAACAAGTCCGTAAAGTGATACTTTTCCGCATGTGTTTTTTCTCACATGTGTTAGGTCCTCTATTTTTTCAACTAATGTGAGGAAAAGACCCAAATTCTTATTTTCACTTCCTTACTTTTCCGCACTAGTGCGGAAAAACTTTCAATTGAGTGCGGGAAAGTGGACTTTTCCGCGAGCTGGTACAAAAACTATTTTTTGGAAAAAAATTGACCCGTGTCCATGAAAAACTTGAACTTTTGGAAAAACGACTTACTTTCCACCAAGTACTCCGAAAGTGCGAACCTCTGCATTTGTGCCGTAAAATAATTGACGGCGTCCGAACTTTGGAAATACAGTTTGGCAGCTTTCTCGTAGTTGATTTTCGACAGCTGAATGATATTTTTCCGATTGGCCGAGTCGTTGATCGTCAGCCATATGTGGCTGTGATAGAGCGAGCCTATGCGATAGTGAATGATGGCCGCCCTGTACAAGTAGAGCGGGTATTTCGGGTTCGTTTCGTCGAAATCGCAATACTGTAGGGCTTTTTGTAGGGTCTCAATCACCTCTTTTTCCGCTTCGGTTTTGTTCTGAAAGAAAATTCTATAATAATGTTTATACACACGACCCGGGCGTAAAGTGGCACTTTATCGCCCGGATTCGCGGACGTAAAGTAGCATTTTAGCGCCTTAGGGCGATAAAAGAGAACAGCGGACGGAAAAGTAGACCGGCGCGCGGTAAAGTAATTAGTAAACTACCATTCGATGTTTCTTCTCCAGTGACATACCGAATATGGTCAAATGAATTCAATATCATCAATAAGTTTTGAATAGACAGTAAATAAATGTCTAAAACGGTCGTGCATAAAATGTTGTATGTATTTCGGGCGTAAATTGCTTGCATGGACCTAGGTGTGTTAATCATCTCACTTTCACGCTATGGTCCATAAAAGACTACTTTACGCTCTTGATACATGAATAACTATTATGCACGAATGGACGTAAAGAAGCACTTTACCGCCCGTTTTTACGGGCATAAAGAGGCCATTTTTCAGAATCCTGATTTTTATTTAGGAACCCCTTTTCGAAAAAAAAAAAAATAGGCATGCACTCGAGCAATTCTCGTAATTTTTCAATTTTCAAGAGATTTGGAAATTGTGAATTTGAGATTCCAACTATTTCGACTATGATTCCATATCTCTGCAGAAAAATATGGGTACAACCCTGGACTGCCAATTTTCATTGATACATAGATAACTATTATGCACGAATGGGCGTAAAGTTGCACTTTACCGCCCGTTTTTACGGTCGTAAAGAGGCCATTTTTCTATTTCTGTCTCAAATAATGTTGTCGTTTTTCCGTTTTTTCTCGAAAACGAAGCGTTCTATGGAGTATCAACAAGAGGATCTTTGTTGTAACTAATTGAATAGCCTTTTATGACATTGTAAAAAAATTATTTTTTGGCGTTGCTCACTTTCAAGTAAAATATAAACAATAATATTCTCGTAACGGTGCCACTGATGAAGAAAATGGAAATTTTTGTACACCAGAAATTGCACCTAGATGCATAAAATACGTGTACCAAATTTTATGAAGATGTATGCAATATTGTCTCAGTTATTATCAATAAATTGAATATTTCTCAACATTTCATCACCCTGTATCTCAAAAGTTGAGACTTTTCAGGACAAACGTTCATATGAAGTTTGAAGAATGAGGCAAAGAATCATCCCCTCGTATATTAGCATGTCTTTGAGGAACACCCTGTATAACTACAAAACTCGTCCGGTATATTGGTTCCACCGTCTTGAATTTCCAAATTCCTCCCTTTCCATATTTTGACAAAAGAATCATAATCTCTGACCTTGAAAACACCCAGATAACAATTTTGAAGAGAGTCGGATCATAATTACAATACTCGTTCGCCATATTGGGTCCACCATCTTGAATTTCCTAATTTAGGCGAAAGAATCATAATTTCCGACCCCGAGAACCACCAGATACCAAATTTGAATAAAATCGGATCCTAATTACAAAATACGCCATATTGGATCCGCCATCTTGAATTTCTTTATTTTGACGAAGGAATCATATATTCCCCGATCACGAATACCCCTAGGTACCAATGTTGAAAGAATCGAATTATAATTACAAAACTCGTCCGCCATATTGGTTCCGCCATCTTTACGCAACTGGTTACGTGAAAAGTGTCAAATTACATGTCAAAATCAAAAAAAACATACATACAAATTGTAGGAAAATCAACTCACCAAATGCGACGAGGGATTTTCGTGCATGATCGACCCCATATTGAACAGGGCGGTCGACAGCTCCCATTTGACAGCGTCCCAAATGTTGGGGCAATGCTTCCGCTCGCCCAACACTTGCAACGCCCTCTTGTAATTAATAAAGGCCTTGTTGTAGTGAAACTTTTCCTTGGGCGTCAACTCGCTTCGCTCCGTGGGCGTGTGGGCGTGCGCCAACAATCGGTGCAGGTGGCCCATGTTGGTGTACAACAAAGCTAACAATAAATACAAAAAGCTCAAGGTCATATCCACACAATGTTCATAAAATGAACAACAATGGTAGATTTCGGGAGAAAAACAACTACTTTCCTGGCTAATGCCACGCAGAACATTGAATTACATCCTCCCGAAATCTATGCATCGACTCGTATAAACGAATACTGATACAAGTGATTATATCCTGAATGCATATTGATTTCGATTTAGCCAGGCCCTGCTAGACACCTACAGACCGGTTTCGAGCTCTTTGACTCTCATCAGTGCAGGGCAGTCTCCAGCTATCAGTCCTAAGACCGCCGACTGAGCGTAGCCTAGCCAAACGAAAATCAAGTCGGCATTATATTCCCCCAGAGGCGTCTTTCATCGACAATATGAAAGCAACGCCATCTGAGTAGAAATGAAGGAAATAAACACTCCAAAACTGAAATTCCCATACTGACGTAATTTCTGGAGGGAGAACGGAACTTGTACTATCTAAGTAGAGGCCGGACTTTACCGTACCTATATTGGCGTCATCTTTGACCTTTTCGAATACTTCCAGCCCCCGGGCGAGATAGGGTTCTCCCTTTTTGCAGGTCAGAATGATGTCGTCACCGGTTTTCTCTATTTTGGCTCGGTTGAGGTAGTAGGAAGCCACTTCGTTCAAACTGTTGCCTAGGCGACGTAGGATGCTCTCAGTTTCGGATAGCTTGGAAAAAAAACTCGTCATAAAAAGTCATACAGTTATTCAAAGTCATTGTTCCATCAAGATGACAGCAAGATTCAAGATAGTTGACGAATTTTCGTGATCTATAACTATAGTTAATTACTTTTGGTTGATAGCTGGAAGCAATGGCCCTAGAACACTTCCTTGAGGTACCCCAACTATTACCTTCATTCAATGTTATGATTTACCACAGAATCAGTAAGGATGAGTACCTAACTAATGTACAACATTGAGAAGGTTGGGTACTGAAAATTCACACTCCACCATCAGCAACCCTATTACTTTATTATTATCAAGAATGTTTGGATTACAAACACAGTTCAATTGTTATCAAAATTATTTAGTCAGTGATATTTATTTCTCATATTTTTTGTTGTGTTAGAACAACCTGTTGAATAACTTTACCCTCAGGGCCTCCTCATAACATTCGATGCTGGTGATGTCATAGATACATTCTCAGTTTCGGATAGCTTGAAAAAAAAACTCGTCATAAAAAATTAAAAAGTCATTCAAAGTCATTGTTCCATTAAGATGACAGCAAAATTCAAGATAGTTGACAAACTTTCGTGATCTATAACTATAGTTAATTACTTTTGGTTGATAGCTTGAAGCAATGGCCCTAGAACACTTCCTTGAGGTACCCCAAATATTAAACCTTCATTCAATGGTATGATCACTACAGAATCAGTCAGGATGGGTACCTAATGTACAAAATTAAGAAGGTTGGGTACGGAAATTCACACTCCACCATCAGCAACCCTATTATTTTTTCATTATTATTATTGGTTTAGGAAATCGATACTTACCTAACTATTGATGTATTTGAGATTACAAAAGGAAATCGTGAATTGCTATATAGGTACAATGGGGAAGATTCCTATATTGATGTTTTTATCTCACTGTAGAGTTTGTAAAAAAATAATATATACGTATTTTTTCTTTTTTTCGTAAGATCAAATTTCACTTCAGAAAAAAATAAATAAAAGAGGAACTTGGCTCCTCCACCATTCCTATGACGTACTTTCTGAAAATCCACATTCACACAGAGTTGAAATACGATTCCCTGTGCCAGAACAACGTTGCCGACATCATCATTATGTCTAGATTTCCGGAAATTGTTTTTTGAATGCATAATAACTATTTCATAACAGCAATGGGATATAATAGGTTCTTCAATCCTACTTTGTCAAGTAATATGAACAATTCCCATAAATCTCTCATTGGCTGAATGAAGTTGATACATTATGATACTATGATATTTTGCGATAGTATCTATTATTTCTCACTATCGTTATATTACAATATGTTATTCATAACTTTTCAGTCATTTTTTTGCTAATGAATTCGTTCCTTAATAAAACGGATCTATTTTCTATTAAAGTTGCAGATGATATCTTGCAACAGCGACAAATACTTCGAGTCCGTCCACAACACTCAAAATACTGACAGGCACAACAAGAGGAAGGAGCCATGGGTGTCGGCTTCATTCTGTTCTGACCGATAGCAGTAAATTAGGAAGGATGGTATCATTGAATGTAGCCGATAGTGATTCATTGATTCAATGATATTTTCGTTTAGGATCGAGCCCTATTCGAAATATTTCAATGAATGAATAACAAAACCATAACCTGTCAGAATGAAGCCAACTACCTTCTGCATTCCTGCTCCGAGTTCATTTGTGGTTATGTATGTTTTTGTTCACCAGTTTTACTTTTTTTTTCAATCGTTTTTCATTCGTTAGCTATTTGTTACCAATTCGCTAGCTATATTCTTCACCATTAGCTATTTTCAGACTAGATTCAGAATGTACGTCACACTTTGCCGCCCCGAAAATTAGAAATTGCTTCAATTTGAAAATGAAAAAGACTTGGCATTTATCGGTCGCCATTCTGTACAACGTGGACATAAAACTGGAGAGTTCCGAACTTATTTCATGAAAATTCATTTGAAGGAAACTTCCCCATTCAGTGATATTGATTTGTCATATTTTTTGTGTGACAACCTGTTGAATAATTTTACGCATATCTGATGTAAATCATGTTCAACGAATTTATAGGAGAAATACCTTCAGGGCCTCCTCATAACATTCGATGCTGGTGAGGAGCATCTGTTCAATGGTGCGTATGTCGTAGATAAATACGCATTTCATGATGCTGTGACCTATGTTTATATCGAAATCGCGTTCATCTTGTTCCAACTGCTCCATCAGTTTGAAGTCTTCTTCTGCGACATTATGAAGTTGTTGTTTGAACTTTTCGGATTCCCCTGAAAAAAAAAAAAAACGTTGAACAGCAAACATTAGACATCAATCAAATCCCTATGGATTATTTACACTAACAAGATGTGAAATTGTCTATACTCTCGGAATCTGCTCGAGTTCATCTATCGGCAAGTTGCTGAACTATTTAGTAGTATACTTCGTTTTGAAGCAAGGGAATCACTAACTTTGATATTCTGACTTTTAAATGATAAATAGTTATTTATTATACGAGGGAAAAAGTAGTCTTCGCTCTCATAAGGACGATTCATCTTGTTAGTGTAAATATTCAATAATAATAATAATACATATACTGGCAAAAAAAAACCGGCCAGCAGAAATATTAGAAAAAATTGATTGAATTCTTGTCCGATACTGATGAAATTTCAAGCAAATCGTAGATTCAAGTTACGGTGTGTGCCTGAATTTTAATTATTGAAAAGTTGGCTTTATCCTTAAACAAGGAAAAATAGAAGTTACTCTTCCACCCTTGATTTCTGAACGCCCTGTATGTTAAAGGTGATTGGCTAAACTTAGCTTTGTCATGTTTTGGATTGAGGTGTGGTCCTTTCTTGACACAATGGTTCTCAATTCACGTCAATACCTTATTTTTAAGAGTAAATTCAAGTGTTTTAAGAAGGGAATGTTTCATTTTTTATCGACAATAATTCAAAACCATCCTCAAACCATCTACTCAATCATGTTTTGGAATGAAGTGTGATGCCTTCTCGTTCCTTCTTAACACATTGGTTCTTGATGCAAGTCAATATCTTCTTTTTTCGTCGAACTTTACAAAAAAAATCACAATTCACGTTCTAATTTCGAACGAACCATTGTGTTCACACTTCAATTCAGGTGTGGTCCCTTTTCAACACAATGGTTCTCAATTCATGTCAACACCTTATTTTTAAGAGTAAATTCAAGTGTTTTAAGAAGGGAATGTTTAATTTTTTATCGACAATAATTCACAACCATTCTCCAACCTTCTGCTTAATCATGTTTTGGAATGAAGTGTGATTCCATTTCGTTCCTTCTCAACACATTGGTTCTTGATGCAAGTCAATATCTTGTTTTTTCGTCGAACTTTACAAAAAAAATCACATTTCACGTTCTAATTTCCGAACGAACCAATGTGTTCACACTTCAATTCAGGTGTGGTCCCTTTTCAACACAATGGTTCTCAATTCACGTCAACACCTTATTTTTAAGAGTAAATTCAAGTGTTTTAAGAAGGGAATGTTTCATTTTTCATCAACAATAATTCACAACCATTCTCCAACCATCTGCTTAATCATGTTTTGGAATGAAGTGTGATGCCTTTTCGTTCCTTCTTAACACATTGGTTCTTGATGCAAGTCAATATCTTCTTTTTTCGTCGAACTTTACAAAAAAAATCATATTTTACGTTCTAATTTCCGAACGAACCATTGTGTTCACACTTCAATTCAGGTGTGGTCCCTTTTCAACACAATGGTTCTCAATTCACGTCAACACCTTATTTTTAAGAGTAAATTCAAGTGTTTTAAGAAGGAAATGTTTCATTTTTTATCAAAAATAATTCACTACCACTCTCGAACCCTCTGCTTAATCATGTTTTGGATTGAGGTGTGAATCCTTTTCGTTCCTTCTTAACACATCGGTTCTTGATTCACGTCAATATCTTCTTTTTTCGTCGAACTTTACAAAAAAAATCACATTTCACGTTCTAATTTCCGAACGAACCATTGTGTTCACACTTCAATTCAAAACATGATGAAGCTAAGTTCGATCACTATCGAGTCAAGCGTAAAATAGTAATTTTTGATTGTCCCTATACAGTGTCATTCATAAAGTCGGCATCATATGGGAAAAACTTTTATTAATGACTTATTTTGAAATTCAAGTTAGACGTTGAGTTTTGCTTCAAAAAAGATGAAAAATGGCCTACTCAAACGGGGTCACGTGACTTTCGCTACATGTCAAAAGTGACATTTTTTCAAATTAATCGCTGAAAGTAGGCTTATTTGTTCGAATATCGAAAAAGTTTACTTGAAAAAGTTGTTTCTATTTGAATTTTACATATTATGTGACTCGGATTTCATCTTTCTATTACATTTTTTAGATTTCGATATTTTCTTAAAATTTTCGAAATTTCTGTAATATTAAAAAAATTGTTAATTCGATAAAACTACTTCATACCAGTAGTTTCATCATGCTACTAACTTTCAATTACTAATTATCACTAATTATCGACAAAAATATGATTTTCTTCAGAAAATGATAATTTCCGCTTCAAAATTCTGTTATGTTTGATGCAAACATAACATCAAAATTCTGTTATGTTTGAATCGAACATTTAGAAACGAAATTCATTTGAATTTATTTTTCCAGTACTGAAAAGATCAGTTTAAATGAATTTTGTTTCTAGATGCTTGACGATATATCAACTTTGCATCAAACATAACAGAATTTGGAAGCGGGTATTATCATTTTCTGAAGAAAATCATATTTCTGTCCATAATCAGTGATAATAAGTAATTCGAAGTGAGTATTATGAAAAAGCTACTGGTATGAAGAAGTTTCGTGGAATTAAAAATTCTTCAAAAATTATAGAAATTTCGAAAAATTAAAAAAAAAATCAAAATCTAAAAGTTGCAATAGAAAGATCAAATTCGAGAAGCATGTGTGAAATTGAAATAGAAACAACTTTTTCAAGTAAACTTTTTCGATATTCGAACAAATAAGCCTACTTTCAGCGATTAATTTGAAAAAATGTCACTTTTGACATGTAGCGAAAGTCACGTGACCCCGATTGAGTAGGCCATTTTCCATCTTTTTTAAGCAAAACTTAACGTCCAACTCGAATTCCAAAATAAGTCATTAATAAAAGTTTTTCCCATATGATGCCGACTTTATGAATGACACTGTATAATGATCAAGCCATCAGATTTTTGGGGAACTAAAATTCAGGGAGACAATTCGAAACATCAATCTACCATTTGGTCAGAACTTCACCAAAATCGGACAAGAATTAGGAAAGTTACAGGGCGATCAATTCGCCAAATCTTTTTGCTGGCCGTTTTTTTTTGCCGGTGACTAGAATTTGATTTCAACGTACCCCACGTTTGTATCATCATAATGCAGCAATCGCCGGCTCTGCCCAAAAGGCAATTTTCTCGCAACGCATTGGAAGTATACTGTAGCTTGTTCATGACCAACTGACACCTGGCAAGAAGCCCGATGTACCTCAAACTCGTCCCGTAATTGCCGTTGACAAAATGGCGCTCTGACAAAATGGCGTACACTAGTACGGCTTTCTCGTAAAGCAGAGTTTTCAAATGGTCTTTCCAGGATATGTTGTCCTGGACGTTTTCGCTCCAAGTGGGCAAAGCTTGAGCTTCGTTCAGATTTTTGGGCAGCAGAGCGTTGCTCAGCTTCTCCTGGTTTTTGTCTATCGTTTTCTTCTTGCGGTGGTCCTTTTTCTTGTGTTTTTTGCCGGAGTCTTCCTGAGATTTGCGGTCATCGAGTTTGGCGTAGGGCATTGGGATTGGTTCGAACGGTTTGGCCATTTTGATTTCTTCTTCCTCGTTTTTCTTGTTGCCCGAGGATTGTTCCGGGAAGAATTTCAGGCAGCTTAGACCGGCTGCTACATGTTGTATCGCCTTCGTTTCAAATATCAACACGATTTTAGACAAGATATCATTTTATACAGTCATTCAGAAGATTGATGTAAATTTATTCCGAAACTAGCTGACCCCGCAAACGATGTTTTGCTACATACAGTGAGGACGTAAAAAGTCCTCTCCTTTGAAGGGAGCAAGCTAGCGAGGTCGGGTAAAATCCAGGCAAAAAGGTACCCCTTTCACTACTATTTGGCATTAAAATGGTTGTGGTCACGTGACCTAGCGTCAAGTGGGCACCATCAACTTTTTTTTTCATATATAAAGAGGGGTCACGTGGTATCTTGTTTTGAAGGCCTTTCGATTCTCTATCCAACACCGCTTCGTTTGTACAAATCGGCCAAGCCGTTTCAAAATGACAAGCGTTTTAAATTTGCTCCAAATATTAATATTAATTAATAAAAAACCTAAATTACTTTAAATTGCAACAAAATTTCAAGTACGAATTGTAACAAGTGCTCAAACATGCTCGAAATGTTCATCGTTCATTTATTGACACGAAAAAATCGGTTTTGGAATTCAATCTGAACGTGATTTACTGTTTCCGAGGAACATTTCAAACGCTTGTCATTTTGAAACGGCTTGACCGATTTGCACAAACAACGCGGAGTTGTATAGAGAACCGAAAGGCCTTCAAAACAAGGTACCACGTGACCCCTCTTTATATTTGAAACAAAAAGTTGATGGTGCCCACTTGACACTAGGTCACGTGACTACAACCATTTTCATGCCAAAGCTCGTTCTGTTCAAAGGTTAAAGAGGGGGGAGGACTTTTTACTTCGTCACTGTATACATTATTCCTAGAAAAAGCTTTGGGGTTTTAGCTGCCAATAAAAACTTTGCAGAGATTCGAAAATTGCATGAGAGAGACGATGTTGCCAAATATTTTTTCTTTCAATCATTTTATGAACAAGACTGAATACCAAAAGTTGTCATATTTACTACTTGATTTTTTCAAAGTACCGTGCGGAGAAACTACCAGAGGTCCCAAAGTAAAACCCAGGTCAAGTTATCCCAGTTTAAGGAACTCAAATTTTTGACGTTTTCTAAAGATGCGATAACTTTTTTGGAAATCAACCGTTTTTCAATGAAACAAAACTATCAAATCTTGCAAAATCACCCGTCTCTCTGCATGTTACTCATACGAGTACTTGGTGCAAGACACTGTCGTGTCTCTGGATATAAAGAAAGCATTGTAATGATATTCAAAGGAATAAAAACGAACATTTGGAATTATGGTGACGGAACATTATAGGATTTTCATTTCGTGCGCTCCAAGAGATAAAAAAAACATACAACCATAAAAACATAAATACCAAGCTGATATAAGCGTATTAAGAACTTACCTGACTACATCTCTCCTCTAAGCCACCAACGATGGGAGCCGGAGGTTTGTAGTAATTCTTGAACTTCTCCAGTCTGTTGTTGTCCAAAACCAGTATTTTCGTAGCATCTTCCTTGTTGTACTCTTCATCCGATAAATCGTCATCGAAAATGCTATCTCCGTCGTCCTCTTGGAGGTTATCTTCTAATCCGGGATTTTCGGGGTTAGTTCTTGCCGGTACATACAGATCGGAAATCATGTACATGGAGGAAGTGACGATTTCGGGGTATTTTTCGTGTGGTAACAGTTTAATGCAGTTTTTTAGCAGCATACGGATAGTGCCCGGTTGCTGCCTATTATAAAAATGAAAATAAAGAGTCGTAAAAACATTATTAGTATCGAACAAATCATGAAATAGGTCTCTTGTTCATCTTCATAACATAGTATTCTACAACAATTTTTGATGCTTCCTGAAAGTTTACACAACAGCTAATGACACATTAGGAGATCATCATAACGGCGTTACCCAAGCAGCCAATCACTTTCATTCAAAACAAGCACCGCCCAGGCTCCGCCCCTAGGAATGGGGGTCGCCTCAAGCACTGTGACTACTACCCTTGATTATTTACACTAACTAGAAATTCTATTATTTCATATATCTATGAGTGACAAAGTGAACTACTTGTTGAGTAGCGAAGTGTGGAGATCGGTCAAGAAGTATAAATGCCTATGAATTAATATCACTCAAACTCTCGTTCTTCTCAAGATCTTTCATCATAAATTAACTTTTCCAAATTAAAACATCCAGTACAGTGTAGTTTCGATCAGGTCAGCGGAGTTCAGAGACGTCAGTTCCTTTAGAATTTGCAAAAACCGCTTACCGTGCGATAATACCTAGGTAAGTAATATCGAAAGGTAATGGCCATTCCCATTGCGGTGATTTGCAAATCTAGCGTCGATTTCAAATATAAATAGAACCCGAATCGATAAGGCATGGTCATTATTAGTTCAATCGTTATTCGAATCATCACTACCAATTATTATATTAAAATCAGTACATAACACTCATTTATCGATTGCTGACTTCCAAGAACCATTATCTTGTTTCTGTTGTTCGCTCGTTTCATATTTGTTCTTTGCTGTTCCGCCTTTTTGGCACATTTTTATGTATTCGTGATTGAATGAATTGTTTGTTGTACTTTTGAAAAACAATTCTCTTTATTTGGGGATGAATATGGTTGGGTGGTGAAATGATCAAAACCTCTCGTCAAAAAGCCAAGCGAGTAGCTAAGTTACGACCTATAGGAGGGTCGACATCTGAGTTGCGACACGTGGTGGAGCGCCATTTTTTCTCAATAATGCCATATAACCTACTACCACCATCTGAGTTGCGACAATATATTCGAGGTTTATTTTTCGATATTTTTATGCGAAAGGAATGTCGCATCAGGGTAGGATTGAAATATTTTTATTCAAAAGCCTTCAGAATATCAAAGTTTGTGATTTTCCTGCTTCATGAAGGATACTCCTAGATAGTACACTAACTTGCAGATTGATGGACTCGAGCAGATTCCGATAGTTTAGACAAATCGGCCATATTTTAGTCAGTTTCGCTAGCGCTGCCTACGAACCAGCCAAGAACTAAGACAAAATTTGGCACAACATTTCACATGGAGATGGATCATCTTGTTAGTGTAAATAATCAAGGCTAGTAATGATAAATTCTTGAAAAAATACTTATTTACTCACTTATTCATCCTGAACATAGTATTTCAGAACAATTTTCAATGTTTCCTTAGAGTTAATACAAGGACTAATGTTAATCAGAATATCATAACGGCGTTACCAAAGCAGCCAATCACTTTAATTCAAAATTAAGCAACGCTCAGGCTCCGCCCTCAAAAGTGGGGGATGCCTTAGGCACCGTGACTACTACCAAAACATACAAATGGACAAAAGAGACTTGTAAATACGTTGAGTTCATATTAGCATTACCTGTCAGTGGAGTGTTTCATGTTTCTGGCTACTCTATACAGTAGCATCGCTACAGGGACGGTAAACGGGTTCGTACCGTTTTCAACATCGGTTTCTGAGCAGAGGCTAGTTAGATCATACAGTTTAACAACCTGAAAATAATGTTTTTCACTGTTCAGAGCTATCAGCTGTGTGCATTTACCTCTTCATCTTTCCCTTTGAATAGCCAGTAAGTGTGCCCAGCTTTAGTGGCGTTCGACTTCAAGAAACTAAGTATACTCTGCGCCACATCCCTAATAAGCTTCGGTGAAAACTTGCTGTTATCCATCCTCGGCAGATCCTCGGTTTTAACAAGCTCGTATTTCTGCACGATACCATTAAGGTGGTAACACATCACCACCTCCGGGACATTCGACATGAGATTGTCCAGCCAATAATCTATCCCCGTTAGTACGTTTATGGGTTTGCTCATATCGCGCAGGCGCAGAGAGATGCAGGGGTGGGTGCCACCTCCGAAAATGGGCATATCGGTGCCGATGAGCATTTCGATGTCTTCGAAGGTCCATACGACGTTTCGGTTGTAGGCGTGGTCGGAAGTGGGGGAATCTGGACACTCTGTAGATGGGGAAGGTTCGGGTAGGATCGGGTCTTGCGCTTGGTGACATCTCTTGCTTTCTACCTTCGTTCGGGAAAATTAAACATTCAACCAATCTCATATTTCTAGGCAGTAGTGTATCTAAGGGGGTTCTGTGCCATCAGCCGGCATGTTCTAGAACTCCCCTAGGTACACTACTGATTACAAATTAGTGTTAGATGACAACGGCGTCATTTAATTGTTTTTCATCGATTCTTAATGTTAGACTTTTGACTTTTGGATGGGAGATATGGTTCTTAAAAACCCATATTTTTCATGAAAAACCATTGAATATCACTTCTGTTTTTTCATTTGGATATTGACATAGGTCAAGAATATTGATGGTATTCTGTAGATATTTTCACGACTTTCTATGGAGCGAAAAATGCTCTCTCCAATCACACAAGTGGATATTTATTTTCATAATGGTGGCATGAAATACATTTTTTCAGTATGTCGAGACTGTGACGTCATCGGTCGAATTCTCGTCAAGGAACCTAATAAAATAGCAAATGAACGAAGCACTGATTAGTTTCTGATGAAATATGCAAAAAAAATTATTCATAATCAATCAGGATTCCTTTAACTAATTCTTTCAAATGACATTCTTTCACTTGAATCTTCTTCAAACTTTTTCAGAGATGGAACTCTTTCTATAAATGTCAAAAAATTACATGGTTTGTGCATTTCATTTCCCTATGTTACCACCGAATGTGCGAAATACGTATTTCGCGCACTGCATGTTGATTATATGAGGTTTTTGTATTGGTGCTCAATCATGCAAGAATCCAAGAAATCATTTCAAAGGTTTAACAATGAGTAACGCTTTGTAAGCCACTATTTTTTAAATTAAGCTAAGCATACTACTTATTTTAGAACAATATTTTCTGACTTTTATAGAACAATTTTTTTTCCAACTCATGCGCGAAATACTTTGGTGATCTCGATATTATTTCAACTCCGATGCGCCTCGTTAAACGAAAATCGGTTCTTTATCAAAGTAGCATTTCACGCAATAGATACAAAAATATTTATTTTCAAATTAAAATTAAAATTAAAGTTTGATTATGTATCTACTCCTTTTTTTGGAGTGAGGTTTTAATAAAAATAGTTTTTTGAACAAATATGTCCACGTCTTTGAAAAGGGAATTTTTCGCTTCTTTGAGTGGCGTAAAAATATTTACAAAGTTCAATTCAAAAATCTCCATCTACTTCCATTTCCGGTAAAACCGGAAGTGACATTCAATTGTTTTCGTTTAGAGGGAAAAGGCGTAATTTTGAGCCAAGCAGCGTCTACTTTTTTAAAAAACTAAGGCCTACTAGATCACAAATCAAATTCTGAAAAGTTCGGAATTTATATTAGCGATTTTTTTAGAGAAGATCCACATACGTCACTGGAATCGGCATCCTCTAAAATAGATCTATCCAAACATATTTTTCATCATAAGTATTATGAGCTCTGAGCTGTCGTAAAGCCAGCGACATCTATATAATAACATATTGAGCTTCCTTTTTGAACGGAGAATTGGCACCTGGACTGGACTGCAAAGCAAGTTGTGTTAGGTACGGGTAGAGGGCTCTAGTAGGCTGAACAATAATTCGCGATAGAAAATAAGCGTACGCCACCTATCAGAGATTTTGAAAGCTGTCAAAGCGGCATGTTTACTTTGTTTCCGTTGGTTCACATTTGTTTTTTGTTCGTGTTTATTGGTCATATCATCGAAACGAACCGCTCAGAAGTGTTCAAGTTGTTGCCGTCAGGTTACTTTCTATCGCAAACTACGATTTTTCGGGGGTTCCTCAAATCTTTTGAACAATGGAAACAAAAGAATTCAACGCATGTTTCCTTTTCCTATGTTGTACTAGATAACGTTAGATCCTGAAAAAACAAAACATTGAAATAGCGAAGCACTATCGGCCTCAACAGTAGTACTTATTTCAAGGAGGAAGAAAAATATCCCTTCTGCATAAGAAAACTAATTTTTTTGAACACTCTAACCTTCTTCTTAATGAGTGTATTTTTCGGAAAAACACTTGGGTAATTAGAATTAAAAAAAAGCCGACCTTCAAAGTAATTGAACCCGGATCGCCGGGGTGGAATTCGAACATACATCAACTGATCCATGGAGGTACTTGGAAATTAGAGCATGAAGAAAGAACTTATTGAAAGTAATATAATGAATGGATCTTCATCATACAGGTCATGGAAAGAAATTCAGAAAACCCAATCACGATTCTGAAAATGTAAATGTATATATACGTTTGTCAACACCCAGGCGCTTCTTTTGGATTGTTCTGAGTGGTTTATATGAATCGCCTATGCATATGTTTGGGCAAAACGGATTCGTACCTGTGGCCGGGCGTAGCGAAATTTTTGTTATGACGTAGCGACATCCGCCATTTTCTGGTTGGCAACACTGGTCACAGATGACCGCAAACAGTACTGCCAACTTAGGCATTTTATGGCTAGTTCTAGCCATTTTTAAGCTCATCTAGCTACTAAAAACTGCATATAGCCAATTAGCCATTTTTTTCTAGCTGTTTTTTGATCTGAATTTCTATTAACATATTTTCATTTTAATATTGTTCCCATAGATAGTTCATTATATTCACGATCTAATGTAAGTGAAATTTATACTAGTCTGTATTTATATGGATTCTATACTCCATACTTTGTGCCATTTTGACGTCAACAGATCACGTCATACGTCAATACTACTAAAGGCTGTAGAGTCTACTCAGTCTACCTCTAGATCAGGTCGAGATCTAAGCTCTAGATTTGAATTCTTAATGTCAGAATCGTAGTCCATGGTCAGATTTCTTGTTTCTGCTAGAAAAATTGCAAAAAATGGCTATATTAGTCGTATTAAGTTAAGTACTAATTAAAATTCTATAAGATTTTTCTTAACGCATATGAATTTGACGTGACAGCAATGTCATGTCAGGGACGCCAATACACAAAACCAAAGTCACTAGTTCATTAAAGGAGAAAGGAGCTATGATCTGTCCCTACCCTGTTAAGATGACAAATAAGTCAGTTTGCATTAAGGAACTCTGATCTAGTATGCCTTGGTTTTTAGAAAAAGTGGACACCGCTTATCGCCAGAATGCACCTGTTTCACCTCCACATTAAAAAAAAATTGTACAAATCGCTACATGAATAAAATATTCATGAGGGGGTGGCCTGCTTTCAATTGGGTCACTCTATGAACGCCCTATGAATTATGGAACATTTTACCAAGTTGGTGGTTTCTTTGATGTCGCTGGGTACCAAGCTGTGGTACAGAAACTTGGAGATTAGGCTTTTCTCCTTCAAAGCTTCCCTGGTACGGTTCTTGATGTACAAATTTCTGTCTTCTTCGCAGGTGGCTCGGTTGATATTTTCGAAAAAAAATTTGCGCAGCCATTCCCATTCTGTCTCGGCGGTTCTGAGAAGGTGTTTGTAAATATCGAAATCGTCCAACAACAGGGTGTTCTCGATACGGTGTACCATCATGCTGATATGGCCCTTGTGATAGGGGATTTTTAGGAGCTTTTTTATGTTTTCTGCGTCTGATACCACGTCTACTTCGCCGACGCAATCTGGGAACATTTGTGCCATTCTGAAACTGTAAGGAGGATATTTCATTTGGCAATTTGGAAATTTTGAGAAAATTTCATGAATTTATTTTGAACCGATTAGAAGGCTCCTTTTTGATTACGTTGCTTCCCAGCCAACACATCTGTGACATGACATCTCTGAAATGTCGCGATGAGAAAGCACTGCGATATCACGAATGTTCCATCCCTGCGCTTTACAGAAGTGAAATCTCTGAGTTGTCGTGATGAGGCAACAATGCGATATTACGAATGTTCCATCGCTGCGATGTACAGAAGCAAACACATCTGCGACATGACATCTCTAAGAAAGCATAATGAGGCAACAATGTGATATCAAGAAAGTTGCATCGCTGCGATGTACAGAAGAAAAGACATTTGCCACATGACATCTCTGAGATGTTGCGATGAGACAGCACTGCGATATCACGAATGTTCCATCTCTGCGCTTTACAGAAGCAAACACATCTGCGACATGACATCTCTGAGATGTCGCGATGAGGCAACACTGCGATATTACCAATGTTCCATCGCTGCGATGTACAGAAGCAAATACATCTGCGACATGGCATCTCTGTGATATCGCGATGAGGCAACACTGCGATATTACGTATGCCCGATCGCTGCGATGTACAGAAGCAAACACATCTGCGACATGACATCTCTGAGATGTCGCGATGAGGCAACACTGTGATATTACGAATGTTCCATCGCTGCGATGTACAGAAGCAAACACATCTACGCCATGCCATCTCTGAGATGTCGCGATGAGACAGCACTGCGATATCACGAATGTTCCATCTCTGCGATTTACAGAAGCAAACACATCTGCGACATAACATCTCTGAGTTGTCGCGATGAGACAGCACTGCGATATCACGAATGTTCCACCTCTGAGAGTTACAGAAGCTAACACATCTGCGACATGACATCTCTGTGATATCGCGACGAGGCAACACTGCGATATTACGAATGTTCCATCGCTGCGATGTACAGAAGCAAATACATCTGCGACATGGCATCTCTGTGATATCGCGATGAGGCAACACTGCGATATTACGTATGCCCGATCGCTGCGATGTACAGAAGCAAACACATCTGCGACATGACATCTCTGAGATGTCGCGATGAGGCAACACTGTGATATTACGAATGTTCCATCGCTGCGATGTACAGAAGCAGACACATCTACGCCATGCCATCTCTGAGTTGTCGCGATGAGACAGCACTGCGATATCACGAATGTTCCACCTCTGCGAGTTACAGAAGCTAACACATCTGCGACATGACATCTCTGTGATATCGCGATGAGGCAACACTGCGATATTACGAATGTTCCATCGCTGCCATGTACAGAAGCAAATACATCTGCGACATGAGATCTCTTTGATATCGAGATGAGGCAACACTGCGATATTACGAATGTTCGATCGCTGAGATGTACAGAATCAAACACATCTGCGACATGACATCTCTAAGATATCATAATGAGGCAACAATGTTATATCAAGAAAGTTGCATCGCTGCGATGTACAGAAACAAACTCATATGAGAGAATTTTCCAAATTTTTTTCATTTTTATTCTTGTTCGGTGAAAAACAATACATGAATATACAACAAAATGAAACTAAATTCGCAAACATTCGTTACATTGCTATCAAACCATTCTTGGTTTGCTTACATCTCACCGACACACACCTCATAATTTATGATACAAATAATACGAGTATTCGTAGGTACTAATGATAGCACCGCTGAAAAGACGATTGTCCATAATCAATATTCGGCACCATGTTTGAGGACACTTTTTTTTCTTTTTACTGCATCGTAGTTTGATCGCAAAAACAAATAGCTTTTCCATCACAAATAACCTATCGCAGATCGTTGTTGCATCGCAGAGAACTTATCGCAGCGACGTCGCATGAATGAAACTTGAGTGGGACAAAATAAAATCCCTCTGACATCGCATCGACGTCCATAGAATGCGATATCGCATGTCAGAATTGTTACATCGCTGCGATATCTCTGTGATGTAATTGTGTTTGGGTTATAGCAACGGGTGACTATCGCGATAATTTTGTTCGGTCCTTTTAAATGAATGGAATTAATAAGTGATATTTATTCAGGCAAAAATGAAGCGCCTTATATCTATAGGCAACAGTCACTCACAAAAAGAGAGAAGCTCGTCATCACCACAATAGTTCATAAAATGAACGAGAATGGTAGATACCGAGAGAAAAACAATTACTTTCCTGGCTATATGCCATGCAGAACATTGGAAATCAATGCAATAATTCGTATAGACCAATAAAATCGCATAGATAAAAATTTTGAACAGCACTGGAATACTTGACATCAGCGTTGCCAGCCCAGCAACTCAAAATGTACTGAAAAATTACCGAAAAGAGTACTAGTTTTTCGAGAAAAGTAATGATTCGGATTTTCATTCAAACTTCCTACCATTGAGTAAGTGAATATCTCATTTATCATTATTCAAAACACTTCAAAGCAATCAATCGTCATTCTGTCATTAAATTTTACCCCTTTGAACAACATGAAAATAATTGACATACAGTATTAACATGTAATATGAACTGCATAGTACAGACATGAATGAGACATAAGCACAAAACTCAAAACTTTGTTTGGAAGTAAGACAATAATGACATTTCACCGAAATTGCACATTGAAATTTTCTCTGGTTAATTTCGGTTATGTCGATATTTCAAGTCATAATGTGGAAAACGTACGAATTTTGCGATAGGTGTACTAGCGTACTAGACAGAGTGAAAAGGTACTAGATCTACCGAGTAAGTACTAGGTCTGGCAACACTGCTTGACATTACCCATACCGATAGAGTCAGGGGATTCACACAAATTTGTGGGGTCCACCGAATTTGATTTTGTTTTGCACCTTGCATTTTATATTTGAAGAAATATAAACGTTTTTCTGTTTTTTGTATTCATACCTTTGACTGACTATATGTAGAATAATCATTTAATGAAACTGATACATCGCATTTGTTCAATATAAATATATGTAAATCTATATTAAAGTATTTTTTTAACACCTTTTTTGCGAATTTATTGAGCAGGAATGTTTGTTTTCAAGATCGATATTTTGTACGATAACATACGATAATTTTAATCAGAAGTTATTGTTTCTAATGTTCCCGAAATTTTAGTAATAAACCTTAGTAAAATCAACTTCTTTTGTAAGAATATTCAACTAAACTCATGGGCAATATGTTTTTCAAGTTTCATTTGAAACTACGTGGAAATTTAATATCAGATGTTATGGTTGAATGAAAATGATTTGATGATTTTAATGTTGCTGAAATGTTAGTAATAAATCTTAGTTACTAACAAGTAGACGACTCAACTTCGATTGTAAAAATATAGTGCCTCATATTCAACTAAACCCATCAGAAATTTGTCTTTTGTAATATCAGATGTTTCAGTTGAAAACAAATTAATGTGTATGTTCCTAAATTTTAGTGATAAACCTTAGTTACTAACAAATGAAATCAACGTCTATTGTAAAAATATAGTGTGTCATATTCAACTTTTAACTAAACTCAAGTTTTCCCCTCAGTTTTCCCTATATGTCCCTGTATTAATTTTTTGAAGCATTTTTTTTTCAGATATGTTCCTGTGAACAATTTTTTCATTTTGTGGTGAGTGCTTGAAAGATAATTTCGATTCCCTATAATATGTGTCTGTGTCAAGTTTTTTTTCACTTGTGAAAAAATATCCAATTTTATGTTCCCTATATAGTTCTCTGTGATAAATTTTCTCAACTTGTGAAACAATTTCCATGTGAATTTCATTCCTCTTTATGTTGGGAGTATGGATTCCATAAATATGGCAATTAACCTAGTCTTCTTGAGAAAATCAAGAAGAAGAATTGAATGTCTTGAAAATGTTATACCAGTCATTTTCAACCAATCAGATGCTTTATTTTGACATTGTTACTATGGTAACCAGCAAATTTGTTTGGAAATTTTTCACCCACATGAGCATGTAGACATAAAATGAATAAGTGGAAATTTTCCAGGCACATGCAGCTGTCATATAATTACCTAGACAAAATTGAAATAATTTTGACAATATTTTTCATTTTCCGGGAACCTAGTAAGAAAATCATATGAAATCAATTATTTTTATATGACTTTTTATATAATAATGTATGATACTATAAATCGTTTATATATAATTTGTCTCATACATGAATTTTTAAATAAAATGTAAGCCAATGCATACAACCTATCTTTTCCTTAACCTATTTTCTGTGGGAAAATCAAGGTAAAGAATTGATTGGTTTGAGGAATCGATTTTTTGATGAATTTTCATCATTTTTTACAAATTGGTACACTCCATACAGCCTATTTTTTTTTCTGAAGAATTGATTGGTTTGGAATTTTCATTTTTTGTGGTATTTTCAATCATTGTTTCCTATATGTCACTGTGATTAATTTTCTCAACTTCAAAAAATCCCAAGGAAATATTTTGTTTCTGGTTTTCCTAATATATGTTTTCTATGTGAAAAATGATTGCAAACAGAAGGAACCAGAGTGAAATGGCACTATCCCTTCCCTAGATTTGATGATTTTAATTTATTGCCTGAAAAACTAATATTTTCAATTGTTTTTTTCTAAATTGCTCCTCTCCTAAATATTACAAGTCAATGCATATACAGCCAATATTTTTCTATAATCTTAACCTATTTTTCTGTGGGAAAATCCAGGTGAAGAATTGATTGATTTGAAATTTTGATTTTTTGAGGTAGGTATTTTCAATTGGTGTTTCCTTTATGTCTCTGTGATACATTTTCTCAATTTGTGGAGCAAATTCAAGGGAAAACTCAATTTTTCTCTATGTTCTATTGTTAAATAAATAACATGGAATCATTTAATGAATGGATTTGGCAATTTCAATTTTTTTCAAAATCCCAAGGGTACCCCCTTGCCAAATGGTTTAATTCAATTATTTGTTACAGCAAATGCTGTACCTACCCCTACAGAAGGTCGGGTTATAGGTGCTCTACTCATCTTTAGGTGCCCAATTTTTTCAATAAATGATGTTACTCACCTAGAGAATCCTTTGGGATGTGAAATGACATGTTGCAAACCGTAGGAATCGGCAGAACTGCTGAGCCAATTCGAAGGGGGCAAATTCAGGTCCGTGTTGCATTGAAGCTTCATGAATTGGGCCTGCTTCGGCAGAGAATATTTCACTATCGCCGTAGATTTGATTTGTTCATTTTCCGCAGCTTCTGTCGTCTCGTCTTCGTCCATCTCGTTGGTATATCGTTTTATGTACTTGAACAAATCGTCTTTATGGTTTAGAGAAAATTAAAACAACTAAACAGAAACACAACTTCGACATAACCTCAACTACGGTATTACGATTTACGACATTTATGTCAACTGTCAACTTCAAATCTTGAGTTTCTTTACTTTCTTTCTAGTAGGTTGGTAACAGAAATAGTAGTTGCGTTTTATTCGTTCATTAATCATTACAGAATTACGTCATTTGACAGGTTGCTGAGGGGCAAACATTGTATTTTGTCAAGATTTGTCATATAAAACCAGAATTAGTGGGATAGTGGGATCGTTTTCCTTGCAATCCGAGTTGGAACCAGAAAGAATTTCATAATTTTGTTTGGTGAAACTGTTATTATATTGTGGATGTAGCAGGGATAGCCAGGGCTAGTCAAAGGTAACCTAACAGATAGTTTGTGTGCCCCTCAAGAAACCATGTCAAAATCACGTGTTCTAGAATGGTCGATTCTGGCATGATTCTGGTAATGGTGATAGGAACAGAATGACTTTTCCCAATAAAACGACAAACATGACCTTGCATGAGATCTAGAATTTTATAGATGAATAAAGAGGTTACATTCATCTATTCGGAATAGATTGGGCCTCCGAATAGTTTCAAAATCATAATACTAGAGTTGAAAATCAAGAAAAGGATCAACGCACATTTGGAGGCTCCTTACCACTTAATATCTGGCAATTGGGCTAGTTGACACTTTAGTATCTTTTTTTTTTTTTCATCGCTTGGAGCGCACGAAAGGAAATCCCTATAATGTTCACAGAACATCGTGCGTCCCTAGGGAGGATAGGGACAGGAGGTAGGTATCGGAATTTTCTTTGAACTTCTAGAGATTATATGTTGTTGGGAATACTTCCTCAGGCAATGAATTCCAGAGCCTAGCCGTTCTATAGATGAAGGAGTTTTGATAAAGTGCTGTTCGTCATCTTTCGAGGTTGACTACGAAAGGATGTGCTGACTGGGCTTGTCTAGTTCGTCTGACTGGTATTGCGAGTGAAGGGATGATAGCAGAGATTTCCGAAGAACATTTCCCGTGGAAGTATCGATAGAAAAGTGAAGGTCGCCGACCTTTCTACGGTGTTCCAATGATGTCAAAGAGTGAGTGAGTGTGGCGTCACCCACCAGTAGAATGGCTCTTCTCTGGATGGCATCTAAGAGCATCAGCGTATGTTTTGGTGCTGAACCCCATATGTGGGAACAGTATTCTAGAACAAGCCGTATCTGCGCTTTGTAGATCATGAGAAGCTGTTGAGGTGTAAAGTAGCTTTTCGCACGGAACAAGAATCCGAGTTTTTGTGAAGTATCTGTCAAGTATGCTACTTACCACTTAGTATTTGTCAAATAGGCTAGTTGACAGTTAGTATCTGTGAATTATAAAAAAGATATATCATGTGGTGCTTCTACGCTTTCGTACGAAGGCGTAGAGGCCATCATTCTATTTTTATTTCAACGTGTAATTCGGAATTCCGAATTGTAACACGGATTTCCGACTTGTAACTTGGAATTCTGAAGGTGATCCGCACTACGCACTCCGGAGTATCTTGCTCAATATGTTGAATGTTTTCTCCAGAACAGGTGACGATTATTTGACATTCATTGTCGAAATGTTTGTCTGACGTAGCTTTTCTCTTGTAGTACTTCCTGTAACAAATAATAACTTTTGCTGATGATGAAGCTTTGAAGCTTCGAAACATGAACCAATTCCAATGTTGAATAAAGAAAAGCTTCTTTGGAGTTGACAGTGAGATTTTCTTCCTCACAGAAGGAGAAATATTTATGTTTACCTCCGACGTACCACGGTTTTCATGCAATAGAAATATGAACTTTGCATTTTGAAGCTCTTTCAAAGAACTGAAGTACCTACATCATGAAACGAATAATAGGGTGATTAGGGCAAAAGACAATGTAATTACCATTAGTTACACGATGTTACACGATTGTTCTGTGGTTATAATCTTTTGTTTACCAACCAGGCGCCCTCTTGACAGTTGAAAGGTCAGAAAGTTCGGATTGCCTAATTTCGAGTTGCAACTTGAAATTCTGAGTAACAAGTCGGAATTCCCAGATGTAACTCCGAATTCCAAGATGCAACTGGGAATTCTGAGGTACAAGTCGGTCTCTGGTTTCTGGTCTGGTTTCCTTTCCTGTACAATTTTTTTGTTGATTATTAACACGTCGCTTCTTCGATCTAAAAGATAGTTGGTATTTTAACTCGAATTTAGAATATATTGAGAATCTGAAATATATATGGAAACTTTTTCTTATTATTCCGTTGCTGAAATTCGACATATTCTTCTATTACGCAAAAAATATACGAAACAGATAGCCAACAATTTTCTCCTAAATGAGTGAGGAACTCTGTATATGCCTGAAACCCATCAGGCGCCTACCCCGGTTGCAAGGAGGGTTTACCGATCCCAAGAGTTGATACTCTCCCCTCGTAAGGGTTCCTGTCGTGTCTCCATCAAGACATAATGATGACTATCGAAAAATGTTCTGTGATATGATATATCGCCTTCCATAACAAATATATTGAATTTTGAAGAAATATTCGGAATATATTGAATATAATACGATACAGAATTGAGTTACTCATCATCGATCGCTGGTTTCTGGTCTGATCTCCTTTTTGTCTGTCATTTCTCAGTTGGGCTCAAATGGTCGATTCATAACACGTTATTGTTTCTTCGATCTGAAACATAGGGGGTATTAGATTTCGAATATTGAATAACTTGGGAATTCTAATTATGAGTTACTTATATCATCGATCGCTGGTTTCTGGTCATATTTCCTTTTTGTCTGTCATTTCTCCGTTGGGCTCAAATGGTCGATTCATAACAATGGTCGATTCATAACAATGGTCGATTCATATCACGTTATCGTTTCTTCGATCTGAAACATAGGGAGTATATTAGATTTCGATTATTGAATAAATTGGGGATTCGAATTATGAGTTACTCATCATCTATCGCTGGTTTCTGCTCTATTTTCCTTTCTGTCTGTCATTTCTCCGTTAGGCTCAAATGGTCGATTCATAACACTTTATTGTTTCTTCGATCTAAAACATAGGGATTATTAGATTTCGATTATTGAATAACTTGGGAATATAAATTATGAGAGTTACATGGAATTGGCAACTGAAATAATCACGAAAACTGTTTCCAAATTCCGTTGCTGGAATGCGACATATTCTATAAGCCAAAAAATGACCGAAACCGATAGCCAACAATTTTCTCCTAAATGAAAGATACTGTATATACCTAACCCATAAGGCGCCTACCTCGGTTGCAAAGAGGGTTTACCGACGACGAGGGTTGATACTCTCCCCTCGTAAGGGTACCTGTCGTGTCTCCATCAAGACATAAAGATGACTACCGCGAAAATTTCTATGATATATCGCCTTCCATAACAAATATATCAAATTTTGAAGAAATATTCGGAATATATTGAATATAATACGATACAGAATTCAGTTACTCATCATCGATCTCTGGTTTCTGGTCTGATTTCCTTTTTGTCTGTCATTTCTTCGTTGGGCTCAAATGGTCGAATCATAACACGTTATTGTTTCTTCGATCTGAAACATAGGGGGTATTAGATTTCGAATATTGAATAACTTGGGAATTCTAATTATGAGTTACTCATATCATCGATCGCTGGTTTCTGGTCTGATTTCCTTTTTGTCTGTCATTTCTCCGTTGGGCTCAAATGGTCGATTCATAACAATGGTCGATTCATATCACGTTATCGTTTCTTCGATCTGAAACATAGGGATTATTAGATTTCGATTATTGAATAAATTGGGAATTCGAATTATGAGTTACTCATCATCGATCGCTGGTTTCTGCTCTAATTTCCTTTCTGTCTGTCATTTCTCCGTTGGGCTCAAATGGTCGATTCATAACACTTTATTGTCTCTTCGATCTAAAACATAGGGATTATTAGATTTCGATTATTGAATAACTTGGGAATTTAAATTATGAGAGTTACATGGAATTGGCAACTGAAATAATCACGAAAACTGTTTCCAAATTCCGTTGCTGGAATGCGACATATTCTATAAGCCAAAAAATGACCGGAACCGATAGCCAACAATTTTCTCCTAAATGAAAGATACTGTATATACCTAACCCACAAGGCGCCTACCTCGGTTGCAAAGAGGGTTTACCGACGACAAGGGTTGATACTCTCCCCTCGTAAGGGTACCTGTCGTGTCTCCATCAAGACATAAAGATGACTACCGCGAAAATTTCTATGATATATCGCCTTCCATAACAAATGTATTGAATTTTGAACAAATATTCGGAATTTATTGAATATAATACGATACAGAATTGAATAACTCATCATCGATCGCTGGTTTCTGGTCTGATCTCCTTTTTGTCTGTCATTTCTCCGTTGGGCTCAAATGGTCGATTCATAACAATGGTCGATTCATATCACGTTATCGTTTCTTCGATCTGAAACATAGGGAGTATATTAGATTTCGATTATTGAATAAATTGGGGATTCGAATTATGAGTTACTCATCATCTATCGCTGGTTTCTGCTCTATTTTCCTTTCTGTCTGTCATTTCTCCGTTAGGCTCAAATGGTCGATTCATAACACTTTATTGTTTCTTCGATCTAAAACATAGGGATTATTAGATTTCGATTATTGAATAACTTGGGAATATAAATTATGAGAGTTACATGGAATTGGCAACTGAAATAATCACGAAAACTGTTTCCAAATTCCGTTGCTGGAATGCGACATATTCTATAAGCCAAAAAATGACCGGAACCGATAGCCAACAATTTTCTCCTAAATGAAAGATACTGTATATACCTAACCCATAAGGCGCCTACCTCGGTTGCAAAGAGGGTTTACCGACGACGAGGGTTGATACTCTCCCCTCGTAAGGGTACCTGTCGTGTCTCCATCAAGACATAAAGATGACTACCGCGAAAATTTCTA